TTCATCTATGGTTATTGGACCAGGACTTCCATAGAGATCCATTTCACTGTTAAAATGACTAAAATCCTGGTTGAAAGGTTTGGACTAGACTTAAATCAGCTATTGTCATTGAGCAAATAATAGACTCTTATTTTAAATACTCTGTTTTGCTATCCATGGTCACATGAAAAACTACTCCCAAACAACCATTTTAGTTGTAATTTCGTGGGTCAGAATTTCAGATTCAGAATATTGGGGCTGGCTTCTCTCTGCTCCATGATGTCTGGGGCCTCAGCCTGTTTGGCTCGAACGGCTGGGAACCAGCTGCAATGGGCTGGAGCAGAGTCATATGTCTGGAGCTTCAGTTATGGCTGTTGGCTGAGTTCGTCGGTTTTCCATGTGGCCTCTCTGTGAGGCTAGCTTAGGCTTCCTCACAGCATGGTAGTCTCAGGGTAAATGAGCTTCTCATATGGCAGCTGGCTTCCTAGAGAGAGATTCTAAGAAGATATAAGCCCCAGTGTGTAAGCATTTATTAAACCTCTGCTTGCGTCTTGCTTGCTGATGTTCCATTGGCCAAATCAAGTCACAGAGTCAAGCTCAGCGTCTGTGTGGGAGAGACTACAGAAAGGCCTGAGACCTGGTGTTATGGGTTCACTGGGGCCACCAGTATCTACTACATAGCCAGAAAATGGTGCTATTATTTAGTATCCATTTTCTGTTGTGAAAGGCTACGTGGGTGTATAGGTAACTATGATACAGCATTGCTTAATGTCCATAAAATGTATTTTTATAATTATGTTATTTTTTATCCCAAAGAAATGGTATGCTATGTTGTTTGACACAATGTAAACTTTAAAAAATCTCCATGCTACATAAAGCTGTAATTAAATAATTTATATTTAAGACTATCTGTACAGAAAAGAAAAAAATCCAACCTTACTTAGTACCTATCGCAGGCTTACTTTTCTGTGGCAATTATTGGCATTTTTACAAATTGGTTCTAGCTTAAAAGCTCATACCTTAATTATTTTGGTTTTTCAATCATTCATACATTTAGAATTATTATTTTTAATTTGCTATGAGTTTTAAAAATTATATGGTGCTTTTTTTCAATTCTGATGTTTCCGTATGTCAGGGATGCTACATATAGGTAAGAGTCCTGTATGAGATCTGAGTCCCAGGAGAGCTGGGCTAACCTTTCTAGACTTTAGCTTCCTCCTCTCTTTAACAAGAGGGTTCAATCAATTGATTGCTGTTTTCTTCTAATGCTACTATTTTTTTGTTTGGACTCCGTGTGATGCCTGATTAACTATTAGAGACATGTAAAATATGCATTTGGGAAATACTAAAACAAGCTATTACCCTAAGGAAGGATTTACTTAGGTGTTCCTGAAATTAAATTTTTTAGTCACTTGGCTTAGGGATGTTTTCCCCATAAATCTCTTACCTGCATATGTTACTATTTTGCTTTGCTATATAAAAAAAAATGTAAGAGGTAAAGGAAATGAAGAAGCTAAAGTAACACAGCAAATTTTCATCATAGAAATGCATTACAGGAGCATAACACTCTGGGGAAATATTTGATTAAGCAACTGAAGGGGATTTTACTAAGATTAGGTGGAAGTAAGTTTGCAGAGTTTTGTGAAATACATTTTAGTATTTGTCTTACCTCTAAGTTTTTATTCAGCTGTCCTTCCTGGAAGGACCTTCCAATCTGGTAAAAGGAAACTCTATCTTCACAAGCATTTGGAAGCTTTTATTTCTATTAGCTGTCATTCATTCTTAATGAGAGTATTAAACAATTAGTAATACGGGAAACGTACAAACAAATACAGAAGTACTCACCTGAAGCTACAGAAGCAGTAGGTTCTCAACCTTGTCTATATGTTTTTAATTACTTGGGGATCTTTCAAATGTACTGATGCCTGGGTCCCGACCTTCCAAAACCATGATTTAATTGATCTATAATGGCCTGGCCATTAGAATTTTTAAATCTCCCTAGAAGATCCTGAAATGCAGCCGAGTTTGAGAACCTCTACCCTAAAGAAACTTTCTTGGATCTCTTGCTCTTACCATTTTTTCCCTACAGTCCTTGCACTCTTCTCAACTTTATGACCAACATACAATTGCTACATTCCTCAATAATGAATTTTTATAAGTTTAGTCCCCAATTTCACACATCATTAACAGGGTAGGTGTATAAAAGTATTATTGGAAAAATAAACATTTAGTAAAGGCACGTATTTCATTGGATGGACACATATTAGATGGATCTATCCACTCAACCATGTTATGGTGCTGTTGGAAAATATGTTGCCATAAATATTAAATTCCAAAGTAATATTTTATATCTCTCTGGGTTAGCCAACTATTTGTTTAGTTGGGTCTTGGGTAATGGAATAGGTGTTTCTGGAATGAAAACAATATAACTTATTGCCAACTACTTTATGTGGTTTGGGTGTGTGTTGGTCAAAACCAAACACAAATGAAAACTTCTGTGGTTAGTAACTCACCTAAACATGCAGGCACTAATCAATTTGTAATGGGTATTTTGAAATATTTTTGGGATGATTTAGATGCAGGGGAGAAGTTATTCTTTGTTGCCCGGCATGCAATGTCTTTTTTTTTTTTTAAAGGTTTACTTATTTATTTGATAGAGAGAAAGAGAGAGAGAGAGAGAGACAGGGAGTGGGGGGAGGGGTAGAGGGAGAAGAAGAGGGAGAGAATCTCCAGCAGACTCCATGCTGAGCATGGAGCCTGACATGGGGCTCAATCCCAAGACCCTGAGATCATAACCTGAGCTGAAACCAAGAGTCAGATGCTCAACCAGCTGAGCCACTCAGGTGCCCCACCATTGTCTCTTTATTCAGGCAAATGGTTTAATTTTTCTGCTTGTCTCTACTTAGTGAAATAGAGATGGTATGGCCTAAAAAATTCATATATTGAAATCCTAACCCCCACAGGTGATGGTTTTAGTAGGTGAGGCATTTGGAAAGTGCTTAGGTCATGAGGGTAGAGCCCTCATGAATGGGTTTTCTTACAAAAGAGACCCCAAGATCTCCCTGGCCTTTTTTCCCATTTGAGGACACAAGCTGTGAACCAGGATGATGGCCTTCACCAGAACACAACCATGCTGGTGCCTTGATTTTGAACTTCCCAGCCATCAGAACTGTGAGAAATAAATCTCTGTTGTTTAGAAGCCACCCAGTCTGTGGTATAGTTATAGCTACTTAAATGGACTAAGGCGAGAGCAATTAATTATTAATAGGGTGACCAACCACCCCAGTTTGCCTGGGACTGAGGGGTTTCCTAGGCAAACTGGAATGAATTGATCACCTTAATCGATACAGTGAAAATTAACAACACTTTAAGGATATTTTAGCCCCTTGACTGAAAAATTATTCATTATGTTATAATTTCCTGTTACCAAATCATATATAAATTACGATGGTAAATGGAAGATTAGTGATTATTTTCTGGGCATAGTATAATAACTTTCCCTTCAGCTTATCATAGTTTTTTGGATATACTTCAAAAGATTTTGCTAGCAATGCTCAAACTTCACCTTGAGAAAATATGTATATTTAATGCATAATTTCTAGATTTTAAGAAAGAGACAATAGTGTCTAAAATTGCAGAGTGAATTGGTGCTAAAATGGAAAAAAATTAATTTTTAGATCTGCCTTGAGACTCTAGTACCCTATTGATGTAAGGAAGTTCTTGTAGTAAAATGAAATAGAAAAAGAGAAATAATGAAGTCTAGTATGAATCCACTCTTGTCCCCCAAAACATCAAATGTCTCCACAGACAAATACTGCACAAAGAAAACTCACTGAAGCTGTTAGTGTATTGGTTATTTTTGAGATTCTTTGAAGTAATCACATAGTACGGATAAATTTATAATTTTACTCCAGAGAATTAGTGTATTTCAGTTAAACCAATAACACATTTTTGCAATGATGTGATTATCCTAAGCTCCTTTTGCCTAATTTCAGATTGTTAGGGGTTGGTTTTCCACTCTTTGGGCATTAAGAATCAGAAACAACACTTAATTGCCTTAAAGGGAAGACCAATTCAGTTTTGACAGATGCCCAGTTCAGAAAATATCAAAAGCAATCCTTTCCAAGAAAGTATTAAAACACAGAAACAAAAACCACATGGGGCATTGCCAATGTGTTAGATGATAATGGAACTACATTACACCACTTTTAGATTAATAACTGTTAATGGAGTCAAGAGAGCTGGATCTAGACTAGCAACGATCCAGTGAGTGTTTGAGTAAATGCCTTTATTATTCTGGGCCTGTTTATTTGTCTGTAAAATGGGAGTTTGACTAGCCTGTGCTTGTGGTCCCTTAAATTGTGAATATCCTATAATTCCGTGTATAGCACTGTGATGACGCCTTAGCAGATATATGGATTTCTATCTTCCTTTTCTCTAACACTGCTCCTCTGTACCAGCCTTGGAACAGTGGCTCACACTGCTACAGTTTGAGAAAAAGGCATCTTCTTGAGAGGGCAGAGGTGCATATTTTCTGTGCTTCAGCTCATACTCCACCTCAACATAATACTCCCAATCCTAATATTTGCATTTTGGATCTTGGATAAGTCACTTCCCCTTTCATTAGGGTCTTAGTGTCTGTTTGTAATAAGGTTTTTTTTTTTTTTTCTGAATTCCCTTTCCTTAACTTTCTTTTAGGCCCTTAAGGTTATGTATGTATGTATGAATGTGAGCTAGAATACTTTTTGGTCATCTCACATTCTCAGTGAAGCTTTCTAGGCCTTCCCTCCTCTGTTTCCCCCCTTCCTGTTGGCAGAGGTCTGGAGAGCCTCATGAGCCACATCTTTTCCCTAGGTTGCATGGCTGCAAGGTAGCAATTCTGCCCAGCATTTGGCGGCTGCAGACATGTTCAAAGCATTAAGGTCCCTTTCTTTCATGGACAATGCCCTGAGAATCCCTTGTTAGGATGAGACTTGATATAAAAATGACATGAATATGATGTGATATAAACAAAGACATGATGCAGCTGGTATAGAGTTTTATTGGCTACAAAACAGATATGTAGTGATGGCAATCTGAAGATTGTAGTAGGAAAGTAGAGCTTTAAAAAGCTCATGAACTCATACTTTGATTCAAAAATTCCAGCAATATATTAAGATCATTATGGAATGTCTGGTGAGATTGTTACAGAGAAAAAAAAATAAGTTTCTGAGTTTGATAACTCCAAGGATACATCTTAGGACTCACCCATTTGTGTCTGGGCAAGGATTTCCATTGGAGAAAAGTAGTTCTTACAATAGGCAGAAACTTTTATTGGCCTTATGCACACTTTTGGATCTCATTCACTTGAGAAAGAATTATTCTTCCATTGACACTCTCCTGTGTGATGGCCTTGATCTTTGGAGCTGAGGGAAAAAGCAATGAAGAGGTCACTGCCATGCTTCTCCCACCATCTGAAATACTCATTTTTAGTTCCCTGCACTCAGCACCTGAAGCCCCTCTGTCCCTTCCAAAATGATCACTCGGCAATATGGCAGGCTCTGCTGGAGTGAAGAGATCTCCCCAAGGAAGGTTTTTCCTCCCACCCTCCAGGAAACGAGGGTGTGTGAATAGTGTCATCTTCTAGAGGCCAAGATCTGCATCCTAGGCTTGCCTGATACAGAATCAAGGCTCTGACTACATGTACTTGAGGAGGACTTCTTGCTTATGCAGGCTTTATTGCACTGATTCTGTGAGCTAACAGAGCACTCAACGCTATTCTGGGCACCTCATTTAAAGATCTAGAAAGCATGTAGGATGTGTGAGAAGCCAGGGATGTTTATTATGGCCACTGTTTTCAAAATTATGGTTTATTTGAATATGTGTTTTGTCGACACACCAGGACACTGATTCAGACCAAAGGGAAGATTTGACATTAAGAGAGATACAGGGAGAACTTTGTTAAAATCAAACCTCTCCCACAGTAGATTGGGCCATTCCTTCAAGTAATGGGTTCCCCATTCCTGGACATGCATAAGGAGAGGTTGAAGGACCGTTTGTCCATATCTCACAGAGGGGTAGCAGTTAGACCAGCTGTCTGTGATGGTGCCTGGAACGCTGATTCTCTGAATCTCTAATGCCTTACAACACTTTTACCACCAACTAATCAGAAAAGTGCCACTTGTCCCAGACTGTGGTTTCTTAGAACTTTTCCATGAGATGTTAAAGAAAATCTGAGAAAGTAGGGATCCCAGGTCAAAGACATTTGGTGACACCGAGTTAAACAAAATAAAACTTTTGATGTTTCTTTCTCTTTCCTGTTCCTTTTCTTCCTCACAGCAGTGCCTGGTCCATCTTTAACTTACTGAAATGCATGACTGGTCATGAAGAGGATAGTGAGACCTAGTATTTCAACCATTTCTGGCCATGGGACACATCTTTCCGTAATACACAATTAAAGTCTTATGGAACACTAATGTTCAACAGAATGTAGTTTGGGAAATTATGTGAAATCGTTTTCTTGTAATCTCCTAGGAGTTTAGTAAACAGACTCCATAACTTAACAGAGATCTAATAGTATGAATGATCATTGCTATCTACTCTACTGCTGGCAGAGAACTTGCATATATATTATTGAAGACAATACTGAAAGCTCACTTTCTTCTTTTTTATCTAATTTAAGTTAATTCAAAATTCCTGGCCATCTGGGAGTAAAATAAAAATCGAACACAGGGTATTTGTACACTAAGTACACTAAGTACATTTAGTACACTAAGGATTATGAGTACTATAGAATGAATAAACATGTTGATTCATTTTTAAAAAGTAGATTCAAACAATGAAAATTTTTTTTTTACCTTTCACACTTGACTTTGATTCCTCCTCCTTTGTCCTATAAAAATGATAAGAGTTACAGCTCATTCTAGTGTTAGTGACAATCATAAAAACTCCTTAAGGTGAACCAACTTCCTGCCTGCTTGTAAATTCACAGCTCTTTAATAAGGATAATTGAGCTCTGTAGTCTCAAGGTCATGAGTTCATGGGAAACCCTTCCTGGATCCAGAAGGAAATGAGTACTGCCTCCCACTGACCCTGGGGTCAAGGGAAGTCTACCAAACCACCTCCATTATTTCAGCTGCCTGCAGGCTTTGCCTCCACTGGGATCCTTTCCGGGATCTGGGTTTGGAGCCTGGAACCCCCGGGCTTTTCAGACTGTTCAGGGTTTGGTCTGATAGTCTTTTATTTATGTATTTTTAGTTATTTTATTTTTTTAAAGTTTATTTATTTAAGCAATCTCTACACCCAATGTGGGGCTTGAACTCACGACCCCGAGATTAAGAGCCACATACTTGGCCGACTGAGCCAGCCAGGTGCCCCTATTTATGTATCTTTTAAAAAAGTTTCTAACCCTTTCTCTTGGGTCCTAGAATGTATGTGCCCCCTCCTCCCTTTTTTTTTTTCCTGGACAAGTTGGTCAGAAATACCAGATTGAAGAATCTAGATTTCTCAATTTCTTAGGAATCTTTTCCTGCTGTCAGGCTAAAATATTCCCTTCTGTTGTGGTGGTGGTGGTGTTTTTTTGTTTTTGTTTTTGTTTTTGTTTTTTTTTTGAGCCAAAATTGTGTGCATTCCTAGTGGAAAACACTATAGCCAAGCCTTCCCAGTTGTTTCTTTCTAGAGATTTTAATATATTAATTTTAACTATTGACCTCAAATCCTAGTGCCCTGGGAATAATAGCTGAGTAATTCATACTTGCTACTTAATAAAATACAACCTGATCTAAGTATCCAGAGGAAATTCAACATAAACCTCTCTTTCTCTGGAGTGATGATTGCTAACAGAACCCTGAGGTATAGGAATGCACCCACAAAAACTCGATGCTCTTTTCGTCCTCTTCCCCTGACAGTCTTTGCCTTACCCCTCACTCTCTCCCTCCAGGAGCTGGTGGTAGGTGGTGATTTCCTTCTCTAGGTGGGTCTTGATGCCCAGGAGGACCTTGTATTCATTGTGCTGACGCTCCAGGTCATGGCGTAGCTGCATCAGTTCATCCTCGTAGTGGGAGATGATCCGTTGCATGTCCTGGAGCTGGCAGGAGTACTGAGACTGGGTTTCCGATAACATGTTCTCTAAAGCAGATTTCTGAAAGAGGAAATGATATTTCTTCTATTAATTGACTGATGGCTTGATTGCTTCAATAATGGGGGCTTGGTGAGTAGTTAGAATATACCAACCACTCTGCTAGGTGTCTTGGTGCCTGCTGGGGTGCAAAGGTGAGCAGCTGGCTGACTCAGAGGTTTGGAGCTTGGGAAGTGAGGAGTGCACGAGAGTCAGGACTTTTGAAGCCCATTTTCTGGGCATTTCTTTGTGTCGGGGAGCCCTTGGCAACTTCATTACATTCCTGCAGTGTTTATTGTATATGCGACTCATTTGGGATTGGGTGTATGGTGCCTTGCCCCGATCTGTTCCTTACCTCCTCATGCTTACATTTTGTCTGTGGCCAGATGGAAAACTCCTGGGGGAAACAGTAACTGGACTGCTGTCTCTTTGTATCTTTAGAGAAGGGTCTCAAGTAGGAGTGCCAGATAAAATAGCACCTATTTCCATTTGAATTTCAGGCAAGCAACGAGTAATTTTTTAGTACAATATGTCCTAAAAATTGCCTCAATATTGCATGGGACATACTTATACGAAAAAAGCTTTGTTTTGTATCTGAAATTCAAATTTAACTGGATGACCTATATTTTAATTTGGTCAATCTGGCAACTGTAGTCCCAAGCAATGCTTGTTGATTATGACAGTGGTAACAAATTGTCATTATTGAGGAAATTCTAAAAGCTGCACAATGAAGTTGCTGCACTAGGATACAGCTAGGATACAGAGAACTGAGTTCAAGTCCCTGTTCTTTGGATTTCCCACCTGCTTTTCTGGAGTGCATAATTTTAATCCTCATGAGAAACTCGTGACTGTGCTGGATACTCTCACTTGATGATGGCTGCTAACTTTCAGGGGGCACTTAATGTTGCATGGCCTGTGCTCATCACTCTCCTGTTCTCCAAAAGAGCTACTGCATTCCTTCTCCTCTGTCCTCCTCAGATCCCCTCCTCACTCTCCTTTCTCTCAGCCCATGGCCTTGCTTCCTGTGTTATGGAGGAAATGAAAGCCGTCAGAAGAGGATTCCCACAAGCTCCCACTATTACTTCCACATACGTGAACCTGTGTTCTTGTTTCCCTCCTGTTACTGTGCATGAGCTGTCTGTGCTCCAGTCATTTTAGCAACTGCCTGCCTTTTTGCCTCATTAATATTTTCCACTCTACCAGATTCTTTCCAACGGCTTTCAAATAGAATAATTTCTCCCACTTTAAAATTTTTCTCTCTTGAATCCATATCTACCCTCAGTTGTCATCCACTTTCTCTGTTCTCCTTCACCTACAGCAAAGCTCCTCAAAGAGTTGTCTGTACCCGCTGTTCCAAATTCCTCTGGACCTCCTTCGAAGGGGTCAAGGCTACACAGTCTGACTCCATCATTACCCCAAGGGCCTCCCCTTCCCTTCCCTCCCCTCTTCTTCTCACCTTTCTTCTTCTCTTTGTTCGCTCACCACAGACACATTGGCTTCCCTGCTGTTCCTCCAACCCAACACCTGTGCCCCATGGTTTTGCCTTTGTTTTTCCCTCCACCTGGAGCCCCCTCTCCATGGCCACATAATGCACCTCTTTACCACTTCCAGGTTTTTGCTCAACTGTCACCTTAACAGTAAAACCTCTCCTGACCCCCTTGTTTAAAACGGCAGCTCCGCATTCCAGAATGCCTGACCTCCCCACTCCATGCTTCATTTCTTGGTAACCCATTTCTCCATCTCACATATTATATACTTTGATGATCTGTCATCCACACTAAAATGTCAACTCCCTTATTATAAAGTCCTTAGTACTTAGAATAATGTCAGATAGTAGAATGCATGAAAATGAATGTGAACGTCTTGCTGACCTCACAGGGTTGTTGTGAAATACTATATGTCCAAATGTTTTGAAAACCGTAAAACACTATAATTATTTCTGTGCTCATTATTATCATCTTGACAAGTGTACATTTTAAATGTCTGTTCACCATCGCTTATTCCTAAAACATAACAGTAATTTACCATGTGTACCTGCCAACAGAATGAACCAATTATTTCTCCTCAAGATCAAGGGCGGAGTAGCACTTGGAAATGATATTGATGAATGATTAGAAGACTCAGATAGGCTACAAAGGGAATCAAATGACAGATTTCATTTAATGAATTTTGAGTGCTTGTGACACTCACACAAAGCATTTTACTAAAAACCATGAAAATAATAGAAATGGCATATATATAAGAATTTATAGTTTACTGGGTGATAAGACATCTACATGATGGACACAGCAGTACTTTGGTGTCAGCCGGGCCTGGATTTGCCACCAATTCATGTTGACACCAGAATTTCTTTGTATTGGGGCTTAAGGGGGCAGCCTGGTTGTAAGTGGGGAGAGCACTGGTAGAGATTATGAGGGCCTACCAGACCCTCACACCTCTCCCCAAGCACCAGGTGGCTTCACCACCGGCCACGTACTACCTGTGTGGCCTTGGCCAATTTACTTAACGGTCTGGAGCTTTGGTTTCCTCATCTCTAAAGTGAGAACATGACAACCTACCTGGAAAGTTTAACATGAGGATTAACAGCAGTTAACATAACGAATCCCCTGGCATAAAATGTGGCATAATGTGGACACCTCAATAAATGGTAGCACTTACTATCTTTCTCACCATGAACAATTTGGATGGAAAGTGGGAACTCCCAAGGGAGTTGGGGAGAGGAGCCCAGGAGACAGGTCAAGAGAGGCTTCGTGGAGGACGTGGTACCTGACCCTAGCTCAGACTCACCCTGTTGCACTGTGCCTGCAGGTCAATCTCCAGGGCCTGGAAAGTTCGCTTCAGCTCATGGATGTCACTTTGACTGCTCTGAACAGCTGCTGGACTGGCCACCTCCTGGGCCATGGTGGCTGACTAGGAGACCAAGCAAAGGACAGAAGCATTGGCATTTGGGACCACATGGAAATGGAACCTTTGGGGAGTCTGAGCTCCTTTCCTTTACCTGTTCTTTATACCAAGCGTCCAAGTCTTGATGCTTCTTCTTTATTATAAACTCATATTCCTGTCTCATATCCTCCAGAACCTTAATCAGATCTTCTCCTGGAGTTGTATCCACCTTAACACTGACCTTGAAGTCATTTGGTAGATGATGTTCCTCCATTTCCTGTTTAATAACAGAGAAAGAAAATGAATTGGCTGTGATAATCAGAAGGCCAGAGGTGTGTTGATTGGCAGCAGTTAACAGATCTTTTAAAAATTCAGCTTTTGTGGTTGTTGTTCTTTTACTGGTGCGGTTTGGTTTCTCAGTTATTATTTGTTGATGGCAAAACATTTTATGTTTTTTTTTCTATTATAACTTTATAAAATAAAAAATAGCACTAGATAGGTAATCAAATGGCCTCTGTGATTACTGACTTAATCCCTGGTTGAAAATGTTTCACAAAGAATTATGCTTCCATAGCATGTAAAGTACTCTTCAGCACATGTTCATGGGTGAAGTGATGGCACAATTCAACATTTAAACATTTTAGGTTAGAGGCTAAAGCTTTTGGGAAGCAGTTCAGCAACCCAAAGCCAAAAGGTATAAAGACTTTTTAATATCTTGTCAATGCATTATGACTCTGTAGGCCAGACACCCATAGAATATCATGAAAATCAAAAGGGGCGCCTGGGTGGCTCAGTTGGTTAAGCGTCTGCCTTTGGCTCAGGTTGTGATCCTAGGCTCCTGGGATTGATCCCCATGTTGGGCTCCCTGCTCAGCAGGGAACCTGCTTCTCCTTCCCATTCATGCTTTCTCTCACTGTCTCTGTCGCTATCCCTGTCTCTCTCTCTCTCAAATAAATAAAATCTTAAAAAAAAAAGAAAGAAAATCAAGAAACCGTAGGAAAAGTTTAACAATCATTGTCTAACCAACTGTTCAGAATTGAGGCTTTTTGATGTTCATAAGCAATTTTGTTTTCCTAAAATGGGGATTGCTTTTCTCTTATTGCATCAGAGTCTTAGGGACTTTAGATGGATGGTAACTTTTTCCTTTCCTTTTTTTTTTTTTTTAAGATTTTATTTATTATTTGACAGAGAGAGAGATAGCAAGAGCAGGAACACAAGCAGGGGGAGTGGGAGAGGGAGAAGCTCTGGCCAAGCAGGGAGCCCGACGCTGGGATCATGACCTGAGTGGAAGGCAGACGCTTAGCGACTGAGCCACCCAGGCGCCCCTGGATGGTAACTTTTTCAAAGTCAGTTAAATGATTATGGAAATTAAGATTCTTCATTTTTGCCACTAGTTTTATTTACCTTGGTTAGTGGCAAATTCTCTTTATTCTACTGTCCCCCAATTTGCTGCACATTGGGCCAATGAAGGAAGTTCAATCTCATGCATTTATTCTTACAGTATCATATTAACAAACAAGTCTAGGTAAACATTGTATATTAGCAAAATTGTTGACGGATTCATCATTAATTGTGATTATATTTTGGCTGTTGGATTTGACACTGAATAGAAAACCTTTAAGCTGGAAAAATTAGATGTTTATATGGTTCCTTATAATTACTTAGGTTGAAGGACACTAAGGACTGGCATTCAGATAGTGGTTTCTTCTGGGCTATTGAATCATCTGAATGTGCAGATTAAGAGCCGTGCTGGTTACCAGGAGCTCCTGGGGAGTCCTACCTGCTCATGTCGCTTTTTCATGAGGATGAGCTCTTTCCTCATCCCTTCAACCTCCTGTTCCAGATCTGTTGTGACAATGGTCAGATCATCCAAGGTCTTTCGGAGACCTTCAACTTCAATTTCCAGATCTTTCTTGAAGGAGTGTTCATTTTCATACCTTTTGTTGGAAGGAAGAGAAGAATACACCTGTTGTGTGAAGGCTATGGCCTTGTAAGGATTCACCTTAGTTTAGAGGTGAATCTCTTACTTTTTAGGTTTAGTAGGAGCAAATGAATACATGCATCCCTCATATGTCTGTTTCACGCAGGTTTTTCTGATGGTGACTCAATGTTGTTGTTGTTTTTTTAAATAGAGAGGACTGTTTACTAATAAACAGTCATATGCCCATTGCTTAGACTTAGTAACTGTTAACATTTTGCTTCATCTATACTCTATTTTGTATTTTAAACTATAGACGTTATGACATTCCACCCCTAAATACTTAGGAATAATACATCATTTAAAAACAAGAATTTTTGTTAAGAATGAAGCAAAATGGGGACACCTGGGTGGCTCAGTTGGTTAAGCATCTGACTCTTGGTTTTGGCTTGGGTCATGATCTCAGGGTCGTGAGATTGAGCTCCAAGTTGAGCTCCATGCTCAGTGCAGAGTCTGCTTGGGGTTCTCACTTTCCCTCTCCCTCTGCACTTCCCCGCTGCATGCTCTCTCTCTCTCTCTCTCAAATAAATAAATCTTAAAAAAAGAATGAAGCAAAATGTTAACAGCTGTTAAATCTAAGTGATGGGCATACTCTTAACTATGGAGAACAAACTGATGGTTACCTGAGGGGAGATGGGTAGGGGGGTGGGGGAAACAGGTGATGGGGATTAAGGACTGCACTTGTGGTGATGAGCACTGGGTGATGTATGGAAGTGTTGAATCACTATATTGTACACCTGAAAGGAATATGACACACTGTATGTTAACTATACTGGAATTAAAATAAAATAAGAAAAAAATAAAAACAGGAGTTTTCTAAATAAGCATAATAACATTATCACACCTACAGAGCTAGTAATAACTCTTTAATATCATCTAATTCTTGGTTAATATTCAAATTTCCCCATGCTACAAGGTGTATTTTATATCTAGTTTGTTTAAAGTAGTGTCCAGTCAAGTATTTGTTCATATTATGCTTTTTGATTATATTTTATAAAGGTATTACATGTGGTTAATGTTGAAATAAGTTTTCCTTTAGCAAAACAAAAACAAGAGGAACCTCCAAAACAAACAAAAACAGCAAATGAAAACTCCCAACAATAGGGTGAAGAAGCAACTTACTTGAGGCCAAAGTCATCCACCGCCATCCTAGCATTGTCAATGAGAAGAATGATTTGAGCATTGGTCATCTTGCCGTCCATGATCTGTAAAACACACATCAAGAGTCATTTAAGTCAGACACAGTCCCATGGGAGACCTGCATTTCCGAAAACTGTATCTTCTGGGTATATGACTTGTTAGCATAGATGACTTCTTTTCTGGCAGTGGAACAACAAATAATCAAATCAATAAATACTGAGCACTTACTAGGTACAAACCATCAGAATGGTTTTTAAAGTAAGAACATGGTCTGCAGCCACTTCACTGTCTTTGTTCACACTGAGTTTGACAGGCTAGGATTGGTGACGTTGCTGAAAGAATGACATCGGAAGGGGAAGGAGAATCATCGTTCAAAGTGCCTTCTGGCTTTCTAGTGCTGCGAACATAGCTTAGTGTTTTGTTTTAGTTCATCCACAACTGATGATGTTACAAGAGTTTTAAGTTCTAATCCTTTTTTCATTGTGACTATTAGTTTGGCTCCCTTAGGGCTCAGTAGTTATTTTCGATGAACATAATTCTTCCTTGTGGTAGCATTCATGTTTCTGATCAGTGATACTGAGCAAAGTATCAAAATCTCACTGATACCAGTTTGTCAAACTGATTTTAAATGAATTTTATAAGAGTCATCACATACCATAATTATTTTTTGTCCAAAGTGACTATAACCATTCACATAACTTGTAGGTATGTGTACGTGTTTGTAAATTATTTCATGATGAGAATGCCCTAATTGTAGCTATTGAAATATTAACTGAAGTAACTTTTTGGCAGCTTAATAAACCTTAACTGTGGTAAAGCCTCTGGTTAAGACTTTTACTAGATGTTTATATATTTTTAACCTTAAAATGAAAAATATTGTTGAAAGTTTCTACTTGAGCAATTGTATTTACGTATATGATTTGTAAATTCTTCTAGGTAGTTATAACCAGAGTAGTGCACATTTGATATATGTCACTGTCTTCAGGAAAATTGGGTGGAAGGTGTCTCAACATCAAAAGTATAATACTACATACTTTCGTGCCAAGTCATGCTGAACTAGGAACTGGAGATTTTCTTTTTTAGTTCCTGTTACTGACAATTGGCATGAACTTGGGCCAGTCACTCTGTTTCCTGGGTTTCGATTTCATCATCTGTTAAATAAGGAGTTTGTAGTAGAAACTACTAGAGATCCTAGCTCTAAACTTCGTGATTTAGTTGGAGGCAGAGAATCCTGTGACATTCCCATCGTATTTGAACAGATAATTCCTTTATTTAGAAAGGATTTACTTAGGACAAAGTTATACCTCAATACAAAGGCACCTTTTAAAGATCTGCTCCTATTCAAAGCTTCACTGATTACTTGGAATTTGGTATCATGAATGCACAATAGCAGGATTCAGAGGTGGTAATAACACTGGGTCTGGAACTCCTTAAAGGGCAGAGCCTGGGGTCTTGCTATTGCACCTACTAGCTGAGTGAGCTTATTGAGTCTCAGTTTCTTCATCCATAAAATGGCAATAGTAATAGTAATAGTAGCCACTTCATCAGAGAGTTATGAGAATTAGATTAGAAGAGGTTAAACACAATAATGTTGTAACATACTTAGCCTATTCTGGGCACACTGTAGACACTGAAAGATTAGTTGAAACTATATTAATCTAGAAAAATGTAAAGGTTTAATTTTCTTTTATAAAAGAACTTTTGAGAAGACATATAGATGGCCAAAAGACACATGAAAAGATGTTCATCACTCATCCTCAGGGAAATGCAAATGAAAATCACAATAAGGTAACACCTCACACCAGTCAGAACTGGCTAGTATCAAAAAGACAAGATATAATAAGTGTTGGAGAGGATATGGGGAAAAGGGAACCCTTGAACGTTCTTGGTGGGAATATAAATTGGTAAGCCACTGTGGAAAACAGTATGGAGGCTCCTCAAAAAATTAGAAATAGAACTGCCATATGACCCAGTAATTCCACTTCTGGGTATTTACCTGAAGAAAAAACCCCACCAATTTGAAAAGATATATGCACCCCTATGTTCATTGCAGCATTATTTATAGGAGCCAAGATATGGAACCAACTTAAGTGTCCATCGATCGATGAATGGATGCAGAAGATGTGCTATATATACGTACAATGGAATCCTACAGAGCCATAAAAAGAATGAGGTCCTACCATCTGCAATCACATGGATGGACCTAGAGGGTATATACTAGTTGAAATAAGTCAGACAGAAATATACCATAGAAATAAGAAACAAGTCAGAAAGACAAATACTTTGTATGATTTCACTTACATGTGGAATCTAAAAAACAAAGGAAATGGACGAACAAACAGAAATGGACTCATAAATGCAGGGAACAAACTGGCAGTTGCCAGAGGAATAGGGAAGGGGAGTGGGTGAAATCGGTAAATGGGATTAAGAGATGCAAACTTCCAGTTATAAAATAAATGAGGCACGGGAATGAAAAGTACAGTATAGGGAATATATTTAAAAAAAAAGAAAAAAGAAAAAAGCCAGCACTATCATGATTAGAGCCAATGTCCATCCTGGATAAATCCCAGGTCCTGTATGTTGAGATGCATCCTCAAACTTCTGCTGTTCATGGTGGGAGATAACCAGGCTGCTGCCCAACTCCTTTCTTCCCTTGGTGGATTCCAAAAGGTACTATGACTACTTCCTTTGCTCTAAAAAAGGATTCTGTAGGTATTTCCCTGTCTCCCCACTGTGGTGCTGCTTAGGGACTTTCATACCAATGCTTTTCCTTCCAGGCTCTACATTCCTTCTGTTATCTAAGCTCATCGGAAACGAAAAGTAGCTCCATCCACGAAAGCCTGGGAACCCTGTGCACCGAGGTATTGATTGACATCCAGAGAAACCAAACAGTATTCCCTCCATGGAATCAGAAAAATAAAAAATACAATCTGTGGGCTTATTTGGTTTTTCTGAGTTAAATTGGTAATTTATCTGTTGCAAAACCCACATCAAGAATCTGATTCCCCCAGTTAGCATTCTTCTCAGAGTTCATGAATGGTGAGTTCTGAAATGCACTTGATATAGAGCACATTTAAAAACCAAAATGGGGGCGCCTGGGTGGCTCAGTCGTTGGGCGTCTGCCTTCGGCTCAGGTCATGATCCTGGGGTCCTGGGATCGAGCCCCGCATTGGGCTCCCTGCTCTGCGGGAAGCCTGCTTCTCCCTCTCCCTTTCCCCCTGCTTGTGTTCCCTCTCTCGCTATGTATCTCTCTGTCAAATAAATAAATAAAATCTTTAAAAAATATAAAAACCAAAATGATTTCCCCTGTTCAGGCTTACTTGATGCAATATTATGATACAGCCACTCTTTCTGAGACATCCTTCACAGTAATGAATGGGTGATAAGGAAGGGTTGAGAAATAATTTGTGAAGCCTAGGTTTTGCATTGTGTGTTGTAATTAATCACCTGGATTCTCCCCCAAGGCTCTGAGTTCATTCTTTTAAAAAACCCAAGTTGGTGTATTAGTATAATGTTGTTGCTCCAGGGTATGTAATCTTGTTCCAGGAAGAAGAAAATAGAATTTTTTAAATCATAAACCATAGTGCCAAAATATGGTACTATTGAGAGCCATTCTAAAATACGCATATCCTTATGACTAAGTCCAACTTGGTGTTTCAAAAGGATTGGATTAATTTTTGAACTCATTTTCTTACAGTTTTTTTGAGTAACATTTAAGATCCCTAAGATGGGAGTAGGAGAATGCTACTACTGATAGCATTTCATCAAGGCCTGGGAAGGGGTCAGTCCCTGGTTGTTGTGGGTTGTTGTATTCCTGGGCCTCTGTTTTCTTGCCTGTGAGTGAGGGAGGTCAGGACAGATAGAACAACCTCAACTTCAAAGAATTGTTTTCTTCAGACATAAAAAAATACAACTAAAATAAGTAATCCAGAAAAGAGTGGGATTCAAGCCTGAAGTTAATTTATAACGCAGAATTTAAAGTCAGAACCCAGAATCCCAGGCTTAGAGAATGGGCTTGGAGAGTGGGCAAGCCACCCCCTCCTTGGCATTGCCCCCATTCCACTTTTCTCAATTCTGTTCCAGAGAATTTGGGCAACCACTCAGTCTCAGTCTCCTCATCTATAAAAGGGGGGTAAGAATACTTGCTTCACAAAATGAGATAATGTGTATGAAATGTGTGTCATATGATTAACATTGCAACTGTAATGCATTATTTCTACTAACAAGCAGTACGTTTTTGCAGGAGATAGGCTAGTGCGCACCATGCTGTATGGAAACTGTGAGGCCATTAGAAACAGATCTGGGTTAGAATCCTATGTCTGCCTCTTGCTGGTGGCTTTTGGTGGCTACTTCACTTCTCTGAGCTTCAGTCTCTTTACAGGGTCATTGTAAGAATTGAATCAGGTAACGTCAAATGTTTCTATCAGTGCAGAAAGCTCTTGGATGGTACTGATTTGTGTATTAAAATATCCAGCATGAAGGTTGGCATACAATAAGGGCTCAATAAATGTTTTCCTCCCCCTTCCCTCCTCTCTCTGCTGTCAGTGAATAATATGACCATGTCTGACCTCATGTTTCTTTTGGGAGTTAGGTTCTCAGCTGTCTATTTGCAAAAATCTTCTATTCTCTCCATTCTAAAACAAAAGCAACTTTATTAATGAAAAAATATGATGGGGTTTGTTGAGTCACCTTGTTTTTTTTTTGTAAAGCCAACCATGTACTATATAGTTAGGGTAATTACACAGTCAGTTATTAGGTTGATTATTCAATAATTAGGGTTCATTATGAGGACAGATTTATATTATCTTGATTGGTCTTTCCTACATTCAAGCAAGGATGACTGAGGGTTGAGAAATCATACTGTATAAATACTGGAAACCCGTGATGCCCTTTCTAGGATGGGTAAAATCATGATCTTACAGGGAATTTTTTGGGACCGATTTACAGAAAAGGGAAGTTATATAGCTTTAAAAAATAATTTATGAGCTGACTGGATTCCCTCCACTTCTAACCAATGTTGTGTGATGTCCCAGAAGGTATAAGCTCAGCTTTTTGAAATGTTCAGTTGAAAATTTTTTGTGTGTTTTTAAAGAAGTCTCTATAACCCATTCTAACTCAGATTCCAAAAATTATGCTCATTTTATTTTATTCCAGCAATATGCCCTTTCAGAACTGGGAGCAGCAAGAACTCAGAACTTCTAGCAGCCCTCCAGAGGAAATATCCAGGAATGTCAGAATGATGTATCTGTTCTTGGAGTGACAGCCTTCAGGTATGATCTCCAAAACAGTGTAACCCAGCCTTTCTTTCTGTGGGTAATCAAACTGTGGCCAGGACTTTTGAGGTAGAGCAGAAATGACGTAATGAGAAAGTAAATGCTCTCTTGTGCCTCTTGTGACCTGAGCATGAGGGATGAATACTGGCCCTTATCATTACTGTAACATTCCTGGATCATAAGTGATATCGGACAGCAGATGGTTGCCTTACATTTTTTGGATTTTCCATATAATTTATGTATAGAGGACAAAATACACAAAACAGGCTTTCCCGAGTCCAAAAGGTGTAACAAGAAAGTATCCTCAAATACCTTTGTTCAAAATTACTTTAAGCTCTTTTGCCATTTTCCTGGAAATTGTCTTTTGTACCAATTTCTCCTCCCATGGCTCTCTGGAAATGCAGCCCCCTCTTGAGTTCCAGGGACACCCATGATCTTACCTGCTCCTGCAGGTGGCTGATGTTTTCCTCATACTGGGTGTAATTTTGCTTACTGCCAGGATCTCTCTGCTCGTGCCACTTCAAGATGTGACTTTCGAGCTTCTCGTTGGCCTCCTCCAGGGCACGCACCTTATCCAGGTAGGAAGCCAGGCGGTCGTTGAGGTTCTGCATCACCTCCTTCCCACTTGCAGCTGGGAAGGAATTGCTTCTTCTAGATCCCCAAGGACCTCCAGGAGGCAGGCAGCTTGGTGAGCTGAAGGAAAGGGAGATGCGGACACCCCCGGTCCCCCCATGGATGCTGGGAGCCTGAGGGAAGCTCCCCAGCTGGTCCCAGCTGCCTCCCCTGCCACGGAGGGAGCCTGAGGGGGTCTGGCTAAAGTTGTGGCTGGAGTTCATGGTCCCATCTGTGTTTGCTGCAGGGCTGGGCTCTGCTCTGCTCCCTGGCACTGTAGGACTGAGCCGCCCCAGACTGCCCTGGATGGTTTTACGCCCTTTGCTGTGGGAGTTCCCTTCCCTGACAACTGTACCAACAAGATCATATCATTGTGCAACAGGTGTTTCCTCTTGGTCAATCCCAAAGTGCCCTGGGCCTTCACACACATTGTTGTTGTTTAGAGCCACATCAACATACCAGTTTGCTTCTCCCTTCTCGTCGTAACCTGGAGGTGTGGCCCACGACATGAGGTGGGTATTGGTCTCAGGTGTCTTTCTAATCTTCCTGTGGAATTTTTCCTTTGACCATTTATCTGAAAAGGACCAGACTGAAGTTTACAAAAAGGTTATTTGGTATACTACAGGTTTCCTTTTAAAAAGTAGACATTAACCACACAGACACACATGCCTTCCCCCACCCCAAATAAACAAACCGCAGCTCTAAAGCTCGGGTGGGAGAGACTCCCAAGGGAAGAGCCAGATCAGAATCTCAGGTCCGAGAATAAAAATACTCATGCTGAGGAGCTGGAGAATGTTCTGAATATCTGATGTCTTTGTGGCAGTTACTGTTTGATGGAAAGTAATTTCAAAGGATCATTCTTAAGAACAAACCCTCAATTATAATTAATTAATGAATGACCGAGCCTTCCACTTCCAGGGTGCCTTTCATCCCCAGCACACCTCAAAACCAAACAACCCAGCCTGCACCACGACTTTCTTGGCCCCTGGGAAGAATGCAGCCTTTGATAACTGGCCAGCAGCCCTGTCCTGGTTGAGCCCCGAAAAGGTTGGCTTCTGAGTGTCTGTGACCTGCAGGGGGGATGGAAGGACGCAGGACTTGTGCCATGGGTTGTCTAACGTGCTTGGTTAATCTTATGCTTCATCTGCCAAGGTAAAGGTTAGAAATGAATAAAGAAATAGTCTGGGGATGGGGAGCCACGTGCTGGTTACTAGCAATTAGATTTAAAGGGGACTTTGAAATAAAATGGCAACATTGGAAGGGACTTGAAATGCAGCCCCTCCATCCAAGCCACTAATTTTGCAGTGTGGAAAACTGGCCTGGGTGGAGGGGGTGGTGGGGGTGGCAGAGGACAGATCGTGGGTTAGAGGCAAAGCCATGGTGGGATTCTTTCCACCACACAGCGTTGTCCTTCATTGAGTTGAATCTTGACAGAGTCCTGTAAAGATTCTCTTCCATCATGGTGGTAATGGGACTTCCCAGGTTTCACAGCCCTTTGATGGTCTTTATTAAATGTGCACGACCACTCTTGAGGTAGCCACGCAAGGGTTATTGTCCCCATTTTACAGATAAAGGATCAGGGGCTCATGGAGGTGACTGCTTCAGAGCTGATTTGCATGTGCAATGTAATTCAGCACACGAATTTGTAGGTGTCAGTGCCTTGGTCTGTGCTGTTTCCACTGCTGGACACTCACTGCCTGACTGCCTGCACCTGCTCCCCTGACTTCCAGATGTAGTTCAAGGGTTACCTCCTTCCACGATTGTTTACTGAATTTTCCTGCATAAGTTGGGTGCCCCTTCTATGAAGAAACCACCTTTTCTGGATCCTAAGACCCTCCGGAGGGGCAGACAGCTTAGTATTCCCACCGCACCGTGGAAACTGGGAGCCCCTCAACTGGGCCCAGCCGCCTCCCTGGACCTGACTCCACCCCTGTTCTTACACTCATCACTCTGCATTTGTCACACTCCTCTGGGACTGCAGGCATCTTGAAAGCTGGGATTATGTCTTCCATCTCTGAAACACCAGAGTCTGGCTTCTTTTTTTTTTTAAGATTTTATTTATTTGAGAGAGAGAGCACGAGCACAAGCGGGGTGAAGGGCAGAGGGAGAAGCAGACTTCCCACTGAGCAGGGAGCCCAATGAGGGACTCGATCCCAGGACCCTGGAATCATGACCTGAGCCGAAGGCAGACGCTTAACTACTGAGCCACCCAGGCGCCCTAGAGTCTGGCTTCTTATAGGCATTTCATAAATGTGTGTTAACTCAGTAATGAACTTTTTTTTTTTAAAAAAAAGATTTTATTTATTTATTTGACAGAGAGAGAGAGAACGAGAGCAGGAACACAAGCAGGGGGAGTGGGAGAGGGAGAAGCAGGCTTCCTGCTGAGCAGGGGGCCCGATGCGGGGCTCGATCCCAGGACCCTGGGATCATGACCTGACCCAAAGGCAGCCGTTTAACTGACTGAGCCACCCAGGTGCCCCAGTAATGAACTTTTTAGAGTTAGGATTTTAACCCTGCTCCTCTGATGTCATCACCTCCTGCCCTTTTGGGAAGTGTGAGTTGTAAAATCAGATAGTAGGAAAAGCCTCTCCAAGGGATGAAAAAACCAGCCATAAAGGCAACCTCATTCCTAATTACAAATAAAATTACCTAAAGCACACCAGCTCTGCTTGTCCACCCTGGCAACAAAACCTTGCAAAAGTCCTCTGGAATTTCTTCATCTCACTCCACAGTGAGATGAATTTTTCCAAGATGGAAAAATTTAATCAAGTCTAAAGGAAGACTTGAGTGTTCTATGGTCACTTACATCTCTGAACATGAGAAAGAGACAAAAGGGAAACAAGGCAAAAAGAGAGCAAATGAGGGGCGCGTAGAGACTTGTTTGGATGTGTGGTGGCAAGCAGTGCTCTGATGGATGTGGATGGTGCCATATCTTTTATTTTGACTCAAGGTTTGGGTCAACTCTGGATTGTGTTCTCATGGACCCAGCCTCACAAATGACAACATCCATATGCAGGTTGCGTAAAGGGCCAGTCTGTGAGCCATCTCCTGAAACTCCCTCCCAGTGATTGGCGATGGGGATGATCACCTTCCCGCACTTTGCAGGCCTGTCTGAAGTGGCAGTGACTTATTAGCCCCGTGAATTTGGCCCATGCATCATTTTACATCAGTGTCTGGGAGTTTGGGTTTATGGGAGTTAACCTGGAGCAAAATACTTCTTGTATTATATATAGCAGGACCAGGTAAGAAAGAATTGGTGGTACCATCTGAGAAGACGGGAGAGAAGTCACCTCTTCTAGAACTATTATGCAAAGGTTTTCCTTGTAGCTCCCAATCTGTAGAGCTCCATTGGATTTTAAAAGAAATGGTGGATTTCTGTTGGTTGGTTGGTTGGTTGGTAAAAAATGATACATGCTTGTTATAAAAAATACTCAAGTAATACATGGAAGTATAAGAAAAAAGATTCTACCACACAGACAACCATCGGTAAATTAGTGAACATTATTTCAGATACTCTCTATCTGTATATATTGGTGGACATAGGGATGACTAGAATAATTTTAGAAAAACGAGCTCATATGGTTTATTCTATTTTAGAAGAACTAAATTTTAAAAGTTTAGTTGACAGGTAAGCTGAAATGAATTCACTTTAGTTACATATTTTCTATAGGATTTTTAGACTTTCATCACATTCTTTTTACAATTTTTTAAAAAAAGATTTTATTTATTTATTTGACAGAGAGAGATAGAGGTAGCGAGAAAGAGAGCATAAGCAGGGGGAGCTGCAGGCAGAGGGAGAGGGAGAAGCAGGCTCCCTGCTGAGCAAGGAGCCCAATGTGGGGCTCGATCCCAGGACCCCAGGATCATGACCTGAGCCGAAGGCAGCCGCTTACCTGACTGACCCACCCAGGTGCCCCTCTTTTTACAATTTTTAATGAGAATAAAATGGCCTGTATATTTGTGGAATCACAGAACTGGAAAGAAGGGCAAGAACAGGTCATTTGTTGCAGCTGTCTGCTTCTAGGTAGGTCCACCACAAATTGCTGAGCTTATTTTTAAACTAATTTTTTTTTTAAGATTTTTATTTATTTGCGAGAGAGAGAATGAGAGACAGAGAGCATGAGAGGGAGGAGGGTCAGAGGGAGAAGCAGACTCCCTGCTGAGCAGGGAGCCTGATGTGGGACTCGATCCCGGGACTCCAGGATCATGACCTGAGCCGAAGGCAGTCGCTTAACCAACTGAGCCACCCAGGCGCCCTTTAAACTAATTTTTAAAGAACTCAAGAGATAAAGGCTCAATCGCCTTCTTAATAGATGCCCAACATTTATTCATCTTTTTGGTCAATGAGCATTTCACCTACGATCTGGTTTCATGATTTTTTTTTTTTTTTTTTGTATTTCTATGGAGTTCAAACTGTTTCTAAATTATTCTTCTTTGCATGACTTTACAGTAAAAGATTTGTGATTTTCGCATTTGGTTCATCTTTCTGATAAATTGAGATGTGGTCACTAAAGGGGATGGATATTTTGCAGGAGAGCTTGGGCAGTGAGTGAATGAAGCGGGTTGCATGTGGGCATATCAGGGATCAGAAGGGAGCCCTGGCAGCCGTAGACTGTCATTTCCTGGGAGCACAGTGTGTGTATGTCTTTTTAAAAATTTTTTTTTAATTTAATTTTATTTTTTATTCTTATGTTAATCCCCATACATTACATCATTAGTTTTAGATGTAGTGTTCCATGATTCATTGTTTGTGCATAACACCCTGTGCTCCATGCAGAATGTGCCCTCCTCAATACCCACCACCAGGCTAACCCATCCTCCTACCCCCCTCCCCTCTAGAACCCTCAGTTTGTGTGTATGTCTTTTAAAGACAATCATTCCATCACTGAGACATTCCCTAGGCACCCTTTTCTTTAGAGTGAGAGAAGTACAGCCAGAACAATCCCCAAATAGATTTTAGACTCTGCATGGCATTTCAGAACAGATGAGTAGCAGATCTTCAGGCAAAATTGCTATGTCATTATCCTGTGATTTGGAGGGCTGCACAATAAGATTAGACATTTATAGAAATAAAACACGGCCCCTGCTGTGGAGCCAGGTTGGACATTCTATAAGTACCTAAGTTTATCAAACTGTGGCCAAATAAAAATAAGATTTTTTCATATTTTGATTTTTCCAGGAAAAAGGGGCCAACAGGGAGAAGGTTTAAGTGAAGAAGTATTCAGTATAGTATTCCAGACTAGGAGGGGAAGGCAAGCCAACTTAAGGTGCTTCCAAATAAGATGT